TAATTGTATATATGGGCGCTATCAGCTTTAGTAACGGATACGACATGAAAATAATTTGAGACTGTCATCAATTATTATTAAAACTCACTACTTATTATAATTAGCGTTTAAAGTAAAACGAAACTAAAGTTTGTTTAAAAGGAGAATAGAACTATGTTTGAATCTTGGTATAACTATGACGTCTGGAAGCACGACGGCAGAGTTCAGTGAGTGCAGACTATTTAACACTGTGATTATGAAGAACCTTCGACAAATACAAGGAAATTTAGAACAATTGAAGTCTCATTTTAAAATATCATGGAACGTACTAGAAGAAGTGACATTAGTGACCTCGGCGATGATGGAATCACTCTCTTTAAAAACAACGAATTTGTAATAAATCCTTATAATATACATATGACAATTAAAACCAGCCTTTTGAAACATATATTTCTCTTGACTATTTATTTTTAAATTACAGTTATTAATCTATATTATCTTAAACTCAAATGAAATTAAAGTAATCCGTATTGCATTTGAATATTTAAAGAAATTATTTGTATAAAAAACTGAAATTTTATTTTTTACTACTAGTGTACTGACTGTTTAGTGATAAAAGCTTTGACTACAGAATAACAATATTAATCAATCAAAGTTCCAGTAAATAACAAAAGATATTAATATTGATGATATCGGAACTTTGTCCTCATAGATGTTGGAGCAATTATTTTTATTGATTTAATAACTGGAAGGTCATAAGTTTAAGTATTATATTGTGTTACCTTTATTAATAAGAAACAGTAATGAAATCTTTGAGGGTGTTTCATTCATGTACAATGTCTGTTAATTCTATATTTTTTCTAAATAGAATCTCACAAAGATTGAACATTGCATTTGTGTTTTACACGAAAGAATGTATATGTAAAGTCATTTTTCATGTAGTAAATGACCACTGACATACCTACTCTCATATAAGCAAGAGTAATGTAGAAATATTTGAAGAAATGATGTGATTGAATTGAAAACGAGAGGAGAGAAAGAATATCTGAAAGTTAGTAGACACAGGATTACGACAGAGTCCAAATATGACTGCAACAAGGCTCTTGCACTTAAAAAAATTCTTGATAAGCAAGTTTAAAAGTACTTCAAACTTGTTCATAAAGTAATTTTGAGGACACTTTTACCTTCTACCATACCCTCTTATGTAAAGTGGTATACAGCACTAGATATTCTTAAAATAATATTCAGGTTCACACATCCGAGACGATTTAACATTCTTAAGATTAACAAGACACAGTTTATATATGTAACAGTCAATATCTACTATTAAAACGATAATGTTCCGACAGTAACTTAAGAATAAATTATAATAGTTTACAATATTCTAATATTAAATAAGCTTGGTTCGATGAGCAAGAGTCTATTATTAGAGGATAGGAGGATTATATAAAGAACCTGTACTTTAAGGTTAGTGTTGCAACACTCTCGATGCCATGAAGATATATTGTATACATATGTACATATGACGTTGTTGTTGAGAGCTGTATCGTAAAAGGCAACGATATTGGAAAACGGAGCATTAAATTACTATAACGCATAAACTAATTGTAAAATCGGAAACTATCTTAGTTTTAGTATCGTCTTAAATCAGAGTTTCTTATTAATGGCTCAGTTTCTGTTTCGATCCGGTCTTGATTGCAATATATTAACTCCCACGGTTAACGACTTAATTTATAGTCCTTCGTTAGGCGAGCGAAATGAAAAATGATATTTCAGTTATATGGAGTATCATCTAGTTCCTGTTACTTAACAATAGTGTTCTTTTTTACAGTTAATTTTTTTTTATTTTATCTTTTTGAAGATATTTGTGCTAACTTCTTAAATTTACGTAATTTTCAAGAAAGTCACAATTAATATACTCTAAAAGAGCTTTAAACAAAATGTAGTGAAGAGTTTGATTAGAATTGAATGATGACATCTTAAAGTGTCTTATGTAGGTGGATAATAAATAATTATCATATATTATTTTTATTTGCTGAGTAATTTTATTTCGGTTCTTAACATGTCCTTTTCATTGAAATTTGAAACTAAACATTTCGCTTTAGGACCGTTGCCTTATGCTACTGTTACTTTGTTTCAATGCAATACTTTTAGTTTCATATCAGACTCGTGCATTACTTTCTACAGAGAAAGTAATGCATGTGTGTGTGAGTGTATACGTATCTAAAATATTTTTTTCACCATTTATGAATATTCCTAAAAGAAAGAAGACGACTATATACGTATAATAAATCGTGTATTATGTTTTATTTAAATTCTAAATATGCTATTAGCAATGCAATATTTATGGCTGAGAGAATATTGTCTGCTAAATTTTTACTTAATTCACCGACTTTAAAAAGAGATTAGATATCATTAAATTTATATATTTAGTTAGATATAAAATTGTTTTATTGAAAGTAAATTAAACTAGATTTCATTTCCTATATTAGATGTTTAGTCAAATTTTGGGCAGATGCTAAGTTTATCATTAGGTTAGTTAAATTAGGAAATAGTATTTAAGTATATAATAAATTGTTTGCTAATTCAATTTTGTCTACTTAATACAAATTTTACTTGTTGCTTTTTAGTGTAATTATAAAATAGTTCTGTAGAATAAAGTCTCTGTTTCAAGATGGGGAGACCTTCCTAACGTTCATTTAATGCAGCACGATACATTCTGCAATGAAGGTGGAAATTACTAACACTATCTGTACTTGATCATTTAATATACAACATGCATAAGATGTATATATTTTATAATATATTTTGAGCAAAACTAACTGCTTGTTATTTGGTGTAAGATTGGTTATTTTTCTATTGATTTTGATTTTAAATGTATAGCGCTACTCTCATTTTAACAGTACTTGAATGAGAAATCTAGTGCTACTTTAACTAAGCTTTATTACATATTGAAGACAAAAGGTTTCACCGCAGTCTTTCCTTTGTGCAACGAAATCCGATTGAAACTCGACGGAAGGCAGACTATTGATAGCGTGATTGTGGTGTACTGACTCACAGTAACGCTATTAATTCTTATATGATTTGAACTAACATAGCATTAATTTTACTAAGAATAACTCAAGTTTTATGTCAAATAGAATTATTATAGTATTTTCGTTTTATTCGTCTATCTGAGATGGACAATAATTTTCAAATAATGTTATTCTAGCTAATGATTATTTACTTTAATTTTTCATTATTATAAGAATTCCTTACATAAATGGTTAAGCCTCTAAAGAGTAGTTCTGATAAATAATTGAAAACTTTATGTATAGGATCAATTAAATGCTCTGACTTCGATTATCAAAATATTTATCAAACATATAAAAATTAATCCTTTTTTATCTATATATTGTGATATATAGATTGTTTTTTATATTTTTTTCAAAACATTTAATTCATGGAATTTTATTTCTTAAAATTCATTAGAGAATGTCACCAACTCTTAAAGTCAATGTTACTTTCAATACATAAAAATATGAAAACATATTAAAATTATTATTAGCGAAAATATTATGCAAGTTAAGAAAAAAGTACAAATATTAATGAAAACAAGCTACATCGCTCGAAATAAAATACATTAAATAATTATATATTTTATTTTAATTGATGAAATATTATTATAAGTAAATATGCCTCAATGAAAGCAAATATCAATAATAGTGATATGAGCAATTTAATATAGATGTAAGGAAACTTCAATACTCAGCAAACATTTATAGTTGTACATATGAATACCACGACACTGTAATTATTAACAACAATCATAAATATTATTTGTTTTCATCTCATTGTGACTGATTTATTTCAGGTCCATAAGTAACTAAGATTATAAGGTATGTAACCAAACTTCCAAATACCTGAAAAATAATATTACAAAACGTATAATACAGGCCCATTCATTAAATTACAGAATGAGAATTAATAAATCCTAAGAATGTGTTACTTGGTCCTTGATACTTTAAAAAAAAAACAATAATGTCTTAAAATTCTTATCGAGTCTGTCTACTTATTACTACTCACCTTCAACACGAACATTCTATTGAGCGTAAACATTCCTAAAGGAGAATAAGTTGCTTTATTCATACACATGATGGACCAAAATAGATTCAGTTCATTGCTGATCTCAATTTTATCTATATTTTTCCACTTCATGGACCTTAGTAATAGTTGGAGCCTTTGCATCTGCAAAGATTTTACTTATTTAACTTTATAAACTATCATTTATAATAAGCCTTCGATAAAATTTGTGTTTAATTAAAAATGATTTATAATTCTTTTACTGAGCACCCTTAGTGCAATTACTTTCTGTAGAGCACATGTTATATTCTGCTGAATTGCTTCTTCCATCGTGATTTGGTTATAATGAAGACATTCCGAAACATTACAGATAATACCTTCGAATGGCTTTTTGATAATAACTTTGAATTTTCATTATTATTTAAATGGTTTTCTCTCTGGATTGCTTTAATAATATCACCACAGGTACTGGTCTTTGTTATAAGTTGCCCGATATAAATTAAGAATACAATAGGCACATTTGTTTACATATATTTTTTAAAGTACCTCGAATTTCGTTTTATGATAAGGTTCAATCCAAACTGATAATGTGATAAAATGAAGTATGAAGGCACAAATTGCGACATATATATTAAGTCCAAAGTCATCTAGAAAAAAAAATTATTGACTTATACTGAAAGTTTTTATTTTATTTTAGTGACCAAACTATAAATTGTACTTCTCACATTGGCTTATTGTATAAACAACAATCCTATAAGACAGGGTTTCTTAAAGTGTGGTCCACGGACCCCTTAGGGGTCCGTAGCAGGTGTATCAGGGGTCCGTAGGAGGTGAGTTTGCAAAAATATTTTTCAAAAAATTGTGTGGTGTGGGGCGCGGGCCCGGACTACAAGCTAGCGCGATGAGTCTTTGGCTTTGACCGTTATTGCGCAGAAATCAAAAATTGGGTATCGAATGCTATGATTGGCGGTACCCATGCGCAGTATCCCCTCCACTCTGCGGTCAAAGACAAAGACTCATCGCGCGAGCTGTATGTACGCGTGAGTTCTCGCCGCCGCCGCCTCGCCCCACCACCGCCCGCACCACCCGCTCGCTCACTCAGTCGCTGCGCGCCGCACGGCACATCGTACCCGCCACTTGCATTGTTTTTAATTAATTAGTGAAACGTACAGGTACGTAAAAAGAGGATTAATAATAATAAGTATTTTTTAATTATACATACAAACTTACATATTCAATTGTGTAACGTACCTAATTGTATATTACATTGTTTCAGTTTGTTCAAGAAAATGTCAAAGAAACGAAAGTATGACGAGTCTTATGTTAACTTTGGGTTTACTTTCGTGACTGAACGTGATGGAACTCAAAAACCGCAGTGCTTTTTATGCGGAAAAGTGCTTGCTAATGGAAGTATGAAACCAGCAAAGTTGTCAGAACATCTTAAAACTGTCCACCCTGGAAATGTATGTGACAGCATTGATGACTTTCGTACTAAGAAGGCTCGGTTTGAAAAAGCCGGCACTTTACCTAAATTAGGATTCACCCCGACACAAAAACCATGTCTTGAGGCATCGTACAAGGTTGCTTACCGTATTGCTCAGCAAAAGAAGCCACATACTATCGCGGAAACATTAGTGAAGCCTTGCGCACTGGATATTGTGGAACTTGTGTGTGGTAAGAATGAAAGAAAGAAGGTTGAAGCTGTTCCCTTATCAAACGATGTTATTCATTCTAGAATTGTTGAAATGTCGTCAAATGTTTTAAAGCAGGTTATTGAAGAATTGAATGCTTCACCGTTTCCGTTCAGTATGCAATTGGATGAAAGCACCGATGTATCACAATGCAGCCAACTCTTGGTGTTTGTCCGTTATGTAAAACATGATACGCGTAGTATCAAAGAGGAGTTTCTTTTTTGCGACTCACTTTTAGAAACTACGAAGGCTTCAGATGTCTTCGAAATGATAAAAAAATTTTTCATCGCACAAAATGTAGACTGGAAGACTAAACTTGGTAGTATATGTACCGATGGAGCTCCCGCGATGCTTGGTAATACATCTGGTTTTGCGGCTTTGATCAAGAAAGAGTGCCCTCATGTTATAATCACTCATTGTGTCTTGCATCGACATGCCTTGGCTTCACGAACTATGCCTACTTTTTTGAAGGAAGTTATGTCTACATGTGTCAAAATAATTAACTTCATCAGAGCAAGAGCCTTAAACCACCGCCTGTTTAAAAAGCTTTGTCAAGAAATGGGTTCAGAACATGAAGTACTTCTTTACTACACAGAAGTTCGTTGGCTGTCAAGGGGACAAGTATTGAAGCGCTTGTTTGAGTTGCGAGAAGAAGTGTTACTTTTTCTGAAAAACAAAGAAAATTCATTGTATGAATATCTTGAAAGAGAAGATTTTGTGGAAGGGCTAGCGTACTTAGCTGATATATTTACTCATTTGAACGAGATTAACCTGTCTCTTCAGGGTTTTGCAGTCACCATTGTGGATGCGTCTGAACGGCTGAAAGGTTTTTTTAGGTAAACTGCCACTTTGGAAAAGAAGAGTGGAATCAGGTAAATTTGCAAATTTTCCGATGTTAGAAGAGTTGATAATGCAAAAAACCCAAAGTGACGGCCACACGACATCAAAGAAGGTACAGAAAGAGGTGTCTAAGCATCTGGAAACATTGCAGACGTCTTTTGAAGGTTATTTCAGCCCAGAGTCGCTTGAAAAAGAAACATGGGTGCGGAGCCCATTTTTAATCGATATTGACAGCATTAGTGATGAAGATCTTATTAAAGATGATCTAATTGACATGAGATCAAAAGAAGTTTTGAAAGCTGAATTTCAGGCAAAAGATCTTGGCGACTTTTGGGGTTCCTTAAGTCAAGCTTACCCTCTTCTAGTCAAGCGAGCTATGTCCATTTTGATACCGTTTGCTACTACGTATCTTTGCGAGGCAGGGTTCTCGATTATGATGTCAATAAAGACAAAAAGTCGCAATCGGTTGAACGTCGCAGATGACATGCGACTTGCCTTGTCGAAGACAGTCCCACAAATTAACGTTCTCATTGAGGCCAAACAACAGCACCCTTCTCATTAACTTAGTTCTTAATAATTGTAATGATTAAAGTTCAAATAAATAAAAGTATTTTATATAATATATAAGTACGGCTTTTTTTTATAACAATTTTTTTTGACAGTGGTCCGTAGAGTTGTTTAAATTTTGAAAGGGGTCCGTGACTGGAAAAAGTTTAAGAAACCCTGCTATAAGAGTTTGATAGCAGGTTGAACATGTGAGACAATATTAAAATCACAAATAAAATTCCATCTCCTTCTGTTATATCTGTGATAATGTCACATATACTGAGGTAGTTGTTTGTACATTGACGTATTAATTTGATTGAATTTTGATTTAAAACTTCCATTTCATCCTCTAAAACCAAATGTAAAGTTGTTAAATTTAATCGTACTAAAATATTTTTTATTTTTCTACGAAGCAGGGAGTCATGTGAGGTCCAACATCAGCTCTTGGGAACAATGGAAAAAGTGAACCCTTACATATTATGAGCCGTCTATTTAACACTAGAATACTGAAAAATACTTTTTTTATATTCTCTTATACTTTTTAAACCCTTTTCTGTGAATGTTTTGAAGTAGTTCTGTTAAAAAGCTTATTATTATTAAACCTTATTGCAATTAGAATTGATCTTTGGTCTACTGATAATGTAATTGTAATAAAAGGGACGTATATAAATTATAGAAGCTCGTATAATGTGTAAACAAAGAATGGATGGTAAATACTATATTGTTTTGATTCGATCTTTCCGTTATTGTCATTATTTTAGTCTTCTTCTTCATTGTTACAAATTACTTTTGTTTTCACATAACGGCCCAGATAGTTAAAATAAAAAAAAGTGTTATTATGTAAGCTATAAATTTACCTTTTGTAATACAGTTACATTAAATAATGCTTCAAGCCCTTTAAATGCAATACGCTTATAATTTTAATTTAATTTAAAACTCATGAAAATTACGATTGAACTATACCTCGACCTTACCGATACCAACGTTTGTGCTACATTCTACGATTCATTCACTAATTTATATTTATTATTCACAAGATACCAACCCCAGCTTCACAGGGGTACTTTACAAAAAATATAAAATAGCCTTTGTTGCGTATAATGCCTTGAGTACTTTTTTTTGAGTTAAATGAAGAGAAACAAAAATTACATCATCTTTCTACGTTAAACATAAAATAAGTTTGAACTCAGAAAAACCTTATATTTTTTATGTAAATAATAGTTTTTTGTATATTAAAATTACAAATTTTTTGTATACAAAATTAATGGACGTGTTCATGTGAAAACTGAAAAATTCAAAAAGTTATTAATAGATACTATAGAGGCTTGAACAAAAAGTAATTTATTTTGATAAGACTTTATACTATAAATATAAAAATAGCTTTCCTATAATCGCTTCAAGAATGGAAATTTTTAAAATTTGTAAAATAGATATGGTATGTTATCCTCAAGAGATAGACATATACCATTGCGGACTTTTCTGTTGACCAATATTATATACCCAATCCCACCATACATTGTTTTGTTATATCTCAAAGGGTTTTAAGAGCGTTTTCGTTAAAAGATCCCAGACGGCTCATTTTTTCCCGACATCTTCAACAAATATCGTTAAGGTACACACAAATCACTAAAAAACCTTAATAAATTATATATTAAAACCTTTCTCGAGAATAACGCTATCGAATAGTGAAAGCCGCTAGGTAATTGGTGTAGTAGGTTTTCTGTTTATTGTGAACAGACAGACAGACCGACGCGGCGGGGACTTTGTTTTATAACATGTATTGATGATTAATTTGGTAACACATTCAAGGGCAACAACACATCACGATTTGACATTTTATAGTTTGTCACTTTTTGAATCAATAAAATATAATATTAACACAAACTAGTGTCTGTTTTATTTGTAATATTAATGAAACATTTGTATATTGAGTCGCTTATTGTTTAAAGCTAATAAGATATACACAGTGTAAGATAACGTCACTGAAACGTTTGAGAGCAAGTAATGAAAGCACGATGATTTTTATCTTCATACATATTTTAAACGTGTAGACCGAAACTATGAAACCTTCCTCGGTCAGTTATACAATTGACACTGAGGATGAAGCAATACGCGTGAAAACAACGAAAATTTATTTTATGTTTGTTAGTGAGCACTTTACAGTATTTATAGTACCTATCCAGTCCAAAACTTATGGTTTACAATAGTTTAAAGTAAAAGCTGACTTAAATCTTACCGTTCTGTGATGGAACTTCATACAAATGTTGAAGAGTATTGTTGAGGACTTTTAAACTTAACTTCGTTCTCCGAGCTATTAAAGATACAAGTATTTCCAATAAATTCATCATATACAGAGCAACCCAAATAGATACAGCATAAATCACCATAATTACTACAAGAAAATAAGAAGAAGTGATGTACCTGTGCAGAATATGCTTACAAAATAACTATAAGTATTAATAGAAGAAGATAATCTCATTTTAATAGAATAGTCATTTAATATTAGCTACAAACATGGAATTTATAATAATGTCTCCCTAAAAGAATCTGATAAAAACTTGAAATAAAAAAAAAAAGTTGGCTTAATTGCTACTTTTCCTAACAAAACTACCATAACAGTAGTTCTTCTTGCAAAAACTACTGTTATTGGTAACTATCACATTTTAATACAGGAACTGAACAAATAATATCTTTTTTTTTTTTCCTATCCTGGTCCCACTTTAAGTAGGGTCAGCACAATACGTTCTTCTCTTCCACAGAACATGTTGTAAATAGTTTTGTCTGATTGCTTTACGACCGACCGCCTGCCTGACATCAACCCTCTGTGGGAATGCTGTTGTTGAGCTATTTCAGTTTGAGCATTAATCACCACGCTTGCTCAAGACGAGTTGATGATGGGATGATGATTTCAAACTTATAATTGTGAAATTATAAGTTCAGGTTTTCTCACGATGTTTTCCTTCACCGTTTGTCAGTGGTGTCCAAATACTCTCAGAAAGTACTTATGACTTGGAAAAATCACATTGGTACTTGCCAGGATCGAACCCGCGTCCTCATGCATGAGAGGCGGGCCTCTAACCACTAGATCACCACTGATTTGAACTGAACAAATAATATTAATTAAAAATTAAAAAAGAACTATCGTACAATGTGTTGTGTTGTCGTTAAGGAGGTCGTAGAATATATCGCCACTGCGCAGTAGTAAGATTACGAGAAAGAATAGAAAGATGAATGTAGTTAGTTTTCTTTCACTATTACTCTTCTGATTGGTATTCCCTACTATTTTTTTGTCAATCTGTAAGAAAAAAATCAGGTTAATTTAGATACACACCACTTACTTTGATATTAGATAAAAGAGAAATCTTTGTTCTCCCAATTTGTTAACATTAATATATTACTAGCTTTTACTCTCGAGTCTGTTCGCGAGACTTCTGAAATGAATCTAGTGCATCAACAACAGATACGGTAACCAGCTAACATTGACATCTATATAGAGATATAACCTAGCATGTGTTTTCATACTACAAAACAACGATTTTGCCTTAAGCCCAAAGAAACTAAAAGGGTTCTTGAGAAACTATAGCCAATTTACTATTGCCAAGTTGAAGTAATGTGACTGTAAATACGTAAAGTAGTTTTGTGTGAATCATGAACAAAAATCCATACATCCAGGCATTTCTTCATTCATACCCCTTCCCTTTTTCCCAAATTTTCCATTCCCTCTTCCCCAAATAAGGATGGCAACGCATCTGGAAAACTATGTTGCGGATGTCCATGGGCGACGGTACTACCTTTATTATAAAAAATACAACTGTCGTATCTATAACTTTTGTATGATTATTGAATACTATCAACTTATCTAAATTAGTATGCCTCAAATATTTACCTCATCAAGTTCCTTGAGGATCCGTATGAACCGCAATGTTCTCTGAGGTGAAGTTAACACAACGATCAATAATGCAATAACAGTTATTAAACCAGCTAATTCCCGAAGAAAATGAATCACTGATTCTGATGGTTCACATTTTTGATTGAAGTATTTACTTGTAACTGTAGCGAGAAAGATTAGAGCTGAAATATGAAAGAAAACAATTTTGTTTTATATCTTATATTATTTGACTTGACAGATAATTGTAATCTTTATCAGTCTTAAGACTTAAAATAAAACTGTTTTAAGAAAGAAAAAATATAGAACGAAAAAACATATAAAATCTAAAATATAATTGTCACAAGAAAAGCCATAAAGATAAAGATAATTTTTCAACCATTTAAGTAATTTCATTGAACATTAAAGGAAAAAGAAACTTACCAACAGCAATAGCAAAAACTATCGCACAAAATATCCGTGGCAATGATAAGCGATACTTAGTTCCCTCGGGGTATAATGGACAAACACCTACCATACGAGCCAAATACAAAATTACCCCGAGTGCTCCTCGAACCATTATTCTTCAATAACGAAATGAACTACCAAAGAGAAATAAAACATAGTTCAAATTGAATCAACAACGACATGTTTATCCTATGGATAATATAATATAATCAAGATATTACTTTTCTGTTTGCAGAGGTTAATATCGCAACTAAAGTATTTGAAATTTGTACGAAGTATACATTATAAAGACAATCTGAATGGAGAACTTACACATATACCATGTAAGTAAGATTCAACTTGTATCGCGTTACAAGTAAACAGTACAGTAAATCTATGTATCTTTTAATCGTAAAAATAAAAATATTTTTTGTTCGCAACATCAAGATAAAAATCTACATTACTGTAAGTCAATAATTTAGTGTAAGTGCGTGTACAATGTTAGATATGATATAAATTACAAATTGTTACTTAAAGTTAAATACATACGCAATATAGTTAATCATATCATTAAAACCTTGATAACAGCGCTTTGAAAACTAAATTACCCTTTAGTTTTAATATCATCAAATGTTAATTAACAAAAATATTCAAATGAAATAATTATTATAGATGATGTTCCTGCAGGGCAGGGCGTTGTCTTT